CCTGCCGGCCCCTGCTCCGTGCTGGGCTAGGTGCTGGGTTCTTGTATGCATGAGGTGTTTTCTGAGTCTCACCTCACACTGGTTTCCCCATTTGACTCAGAGAGGTTCATCGGTTTTCCCAAATTCACACAGTGATAATAATAAGTGGCCACAGCGAAATTTGAACTTAGGACTTCTCATTCCAAACCAGAGTTTCTTTCCCTGGGGCACTGCCTGTCTACCTGGACCTGTGAACTCTCTGCTCGGGGCCACCATACATCAGTGATAACCATAGCAATACAATTTTTAAATATTTTAATAGAGACAGGGTCTCACCATGTTGCCCAAGCTGGTCTCAAACTCCTGACCTCAGTCAATCCACCCACCTTGGTCTCCCAACATGCTGGGATTACCAGTGTGAGCCACTGCACCCAGTCCCAGGTCCTCTTTATACCCTCCCTGGACCACCTAGCCTGCAGGCCCAGCCTCCCCAGAACTCCCAGAGCCTCTCCCGGGGCCCCACATCCCCTCCCAGCCTTAAAGAGCCCAGGAAAGAATGTGGCCTCTGGAGTCACACAGACTTGGCCTTGGAGAAAGTCCTTTAACAGCCCTGCCCCTTCGGGTGCTCATGAGTGAAATGTGAATAGGATTTTGGAGGGTTGCTGGGAGGATCCCAGGAGACAATGTGCAAAGCATTTAGCACAGTGCCCAGCATCCAGAAAATACTCAGAGACTGAGAATGTGATTAATATTGTTGCCACGAGTCAGGCACAATGGCTCATGGCTGTAATCTCAGCATCTGGGGAGGCTGAGGCAGGAGGATGGCTTGAGGTTGGGAATTTGAGACCAGCCTGGGCAACATAATGATACAAAAATACAAAAAGTTAGCCAGGAGTGGTGGTGCACACCTATAGTCCCAGCTACTCGGGAGCCTGAAGTGGGAAGATTGCTTGAGCCCAGGACTTGGAGGCTGCAGTGAGCTACAATTGCACCACTGTACTCCAGCCTGGACAACAGAGTGAGACCTTAAAAAACAATATAGGCCAGGTTCAATGGCCCATGCCTATAATCCCAGCACTTTGGGAGGCCAAGGTGGATGGATCACTTGAGGTCAGGAGTTCAAGACCTGCCTGCCCAACACAGTGAAACCCCATCTCTACTAAAATACAAAAAAATTAGCCGGGCGTGATGGCAGATGCCTGTAATCCCAGCTACTCGGGACGCTAAGGCAGTAGAATCGCTTGAACCCAGGAGGTGGAGGTTGCAGTGAGCCAAGATCGCGCCACTGCACTCCAGGCTGGGTGACAGAGCAAGACTCTATCTCAAAACAAAACAACAACAACAACAAACAGAGAGAGGACCTAGGGCCTGAGGGGTGAGTTTGCTGGGGAGGAGGAGGGACACCTGGGGTTGAGGATACAGTGTTAGCAAAGGCAGGCAGGCCAGCAAGAGCAGGAGGCCGGGGAGAGTGGGCCCTCGGGCTTGCTTTGGGAAGGAGGCTGGACAGGTGGGCTCTGGACAGGTGAGCCCTGACCCCCAGGGGATCAGGAGCCTGAAATCCTGAAAGGGGGACTCGAAACCTTAAGACAGAACACTTTTCCAGAGAGCTCAGGAGGCTGAGACAGAAAAGCCTCAGCTTCCAGCGTCAACAGGCTTTTCCCCTCCTTCTAGCCAAAGACAGCAGCATTCCCAAGCACAAGAGAAAGCGGGTCTCGGAAGGAAATTCCATCTCCTCTTCCTCCTTGTCTTCCTCTTCCTCATCCTCTAACCCGGATTCAGTGGCATCAGCCAATCAGATCTCACTCATGGTAAAGTTGCACAGATTTGGACTCCAGCCCTTGTCTCTGTGACCCTCCCCGCTTGGTCGGGCAGGGCCGTCTACTCTGGCATGTGGGCCCAGGGGATGGGGAGGCACTGGGCTTTGAGGGGGGACCTTCCAGCCTTAGGGGTTATAGATGCATCCACCCGTCTCACCCAAGAGGTAGCCCATCCTTCTCACGGGGTACTCACAGGCACTCAGGCAGGAATTCACATCCCCGCTGGGCAGATGGGCCAGCGGAGGTCCAGGAAGGGACCTGCCCATGCCCTTCAGCCATGCCAGAGCTGGAGACATGAAAAGAAATGTCACTGGCCAGGCGCGGTGGCTCACACCTGTAATCCCAGCACTTTGGGAGGCCAAGGTGGGTGGATTACCTGAGGTCAGGAGTTTGAGACCAGCCTGGCCAACATGGTGAAACCCCATCTCTACTAAAAATACAAAAATTATCCCAGCATGGTGGTGCACGCCTGTAATCCCAGCTACTAGGGAGGCTGAGGCAGGAGAATCACTTGAACCCGCGAGGCAGAGGTTGCGGTGAGCCAAGATCATGCCATTGCACTCCAGCCTGGGCAACAAGAGCAAAACTCCATCTCAAAACAAATAAATAAATTAATTAAATTTAAAAAAAAAGAAAGAAAAAGGCTGGGCATAGTGGCTCACACCTCTAATCCCAGCACTTTAAGAGGCCAAGGCAGGTGGATCACCTGAGGTCAGGAGTTTGAGACCAGCCTGACCAACATGGAGAAACCCCATCTCTACTAAAAATACAAGATTAGCTGGGCATAGTGGTGCATGCCTGTTATCCCAGCTACTGGGGAGGCTGAAACGGGAGAATTGCTTGAACCTGGGAGGCAGAGGTTGCAATGAGCCAAGGCCCCACCACTGCACTCCAGCCTGGGTGACAAGAGTGAAACTCTGTATCAGAAAAAAAAAAAAAATTGGCCAGGCACGGTGGCACATGCCTGTGGTCCTAGCTACTTGGGAGGCTGAGGTAGGAGGACTGCTTGAGCCCAAGGGGATTGAGGGTGCAGTGAGCCAAGATCATGCCATTGCACTCCAGCCTGGGCAAGAGAATGAGACTCCATCTCAAAAATAAATAGGCTGGGTGTGGTGGCTCACACCTGTAATCCTAGCACTTTGGGAGGCCGAGGCAGGTGGATCACTTGAGGTTCAGGAGTTCGAGACCAGCCTGGCCAACATGGCAAAACCCCATCTGTACTAAAAATAGAAAAATTAGCCAGGCATGGTGGCCAGTGCCTATAATCCCAGCTACTCTGGAGGCTGAGGCAGGAGACTCGCTTGAACCCAGGGGGCCAAAGTTGCAGTGAGCCGAGATTGCGTCACTGCACGCTAGCCTGGGCAAAAGAGTGAAACTCCATCTCAAAAAAATAAAAAATATCAAATATAAATAAATAACCTCTGAGAAAAGCCCCTCCAAAAGCAGAGCTAAGCATTTTGGGTTCGTTCCGCATCACCTGGAGTCCTAGCCTAGTCCCTTTGTCACTCTCTCTAGCAATGACCAATGTACATGGTGGACTATGCTGGCCTGAACGTGCAGCTCCCCGGACCTCTTAACTACTAGACCTCAGTACTGAATCAGGACCTCACTCAGAAAGACTAAAGGAAATGTAATTTATGTACAAAGTGTATATTCGGATATGTATCGATGCCTTTTAGTTTTTCCAATGATTTTTACACTATATTCCTGCCACCAAGGCCTTTTTAAATAAGTAAAAAAAAAGAAAGAAAAAGTGCTGCCTTTACTTTTATGGTCACTGTTTCACATTCTTGTTTGGATCGTAGCCGCAGCTGTCACTGGGGACAAGGTCGGGAAACGCAGCTCAGGTGCCCTGCCCTCTTCCTCATCACAGCAGAGGTAGTGTCCAGGAAGACCTCAGAGCTCTTTGTGCTCCTGGGAGCATGTGACATCAAGAAGAAAAGCCACGGAAGGAAAATGTGCCACGGGGCCGGGCATGGTGGCTCACACCTGGAATCCCAGCACTTTGGGAGATCGAGGTGGGTGGATTGCTTGAGGTCAGGAGTTCGACCTCGTTGGGCTGTAATACCGATGTTTTGGGAGGCCAAGGTGGAGGATTGCTTGAGACTAGAAGTTTGAGACCAGGCTAGGCAACACAGTGGAACCCTTTCTCTAGAAAAATTTAAATGTGGCTCACACCTGTAATCCCAGCACTCTGGGAGGCTGAGGCGGGTGGATCACCTAAGGTCAGGAGTTTGAGACTAGCCTGGGCAACATAGGGAGACCCTATCTGTACAAAAATACAAAAATGAGGCCGGGCATGGTGGCTTACGCCTGTAATCCCAGCACTTTGGGAGGCCGAGGCGGGTGGATCACCTGAGGTCAGCAGTTCAAGACCAGCCTGGCCAACATGGTGAAACCCCGTCTCTACTAAAAATACAAAAATTAACCAGGCGTGGTGGCGGGTGCCTGTAATCCCAACTACTCAGCAGGCTGAGGCAGGAAAATTGCTTGAACCTGGGAGGCAGAGGTTGCAGTGAGCTGAGACCAGGTCATTGTACTGCACCTGGGGCAACAAGAACAAAACTCCGTCTCAAAAAAACCAAAAAAAACAAAACAAAAAACACAAAATTAGCCAGGCATGGTGGTGCGCACACCTGGAGTCCAGCTACTCAGGAGGCTGAGGCATGAGGAGGTTTGATTGCTTGAGTACAGAAGGTTGAGATTGTAGTGAGTCGTGATTACACCACTGCACTCCAGCCTGGGCAACAGAGTAAGACCCTATCTCAAAAACAAAAACAACAACAAAAAAAGTGTTAAATATGGTAAATGTCAGAGAGGGAGGGGCCCATCCCGGTGAAGCACTGTGGCTGGATGGGAGGCATTTTCAAAAAGGGGTTTGGAGACCAGGCGCAGTGGTTCACGCCTGTAATCTCAGCACATTGGGAGGCCAAGGTGTGCGGATTGCCTGAGGTCAGGAGTTCGAGACCAGTCCAGCCAACATGATGAAACCCCATCTCTACTAAAAATGCAAAAAAATTAGCTGGGTGTGGTAGCGTGCGACTGTAATTCCAGCTACTTGGAAGGCTGAGGCAGGAGAATTGCTTGGACCCAGGAGGCAGAGGTTGCAGTGAGCTGAGACTGCACCATTACACTCCAGCCTGGGCAACAAGAGTGAAACTCCATCTCAAAAAAAAAGGGGGGGCGGTGGGGGCAGGACAAGTATTCTTTTTTCAGGCACAAGGTCTTTCTGTGTCCCCAGGCTGGAATGCAGTGGCACGATCACATCTTCCTGCAGCCTCAAACTCCTGGGCTCAAGCAATCCTCCTGCCTCAGCCTCCAGAGTAGCTGGGGCTACAGGTGTGAGCCACCACGCCCAGCCAATTTTTTTATTTTTTTGTGGAGATGGAGTCTTGCTATGTTGCCCAGGCTGGCTTCAAACTCCTGGGCTCAAGCCATCCTGCTGCCCCAGCCTCCCAGAGTGCTGGGGTTAGAGGCGTGAGCCACCATGCCCAACCTGGAATGATTTTGGATAGAGCTCTGGAAAACTGACAGGTAGAGTGACGGGTCCCAGCTGGGTCTTAGAAAGACCACTTTAGGGGCAGGTGGGAAGTTGAAGGAAGGGACAAGACTAAAGGCAGAAAGACAAGTCACAAGAGCGTGGCAGGCATCCAAGACTTGGCACCCAGTCCCTGCTCATTGACTCAACACATATTTACTGAGCCCTGCCCTTCTGGCTGGGAGGCCAAGCAGCTGAGTGTCCTGACTGGGGAAGCAGCTGCCAGGGAGCACAAAACAGAGTAAGGCTCATGCGGTGGCTCAGGCCTGTAATCTCAGTGCTTTGGGAGGCCAAGGTGGGAGGATCACTTGAGGCCAGGAGTTCGAGACCAGCCTAGGCAACATAGTGGAACCCTTTCTCTAAAAAATTTTAATTAGCTGGGTATGGTGGTGTGTGCCTGTGGTCCCAGCTACTCTGGAGGCTGAGGCAGGAGGACTGTTTGAGACCAGGAGTTTGACACTGCAGTGAGCCATGACACTGCTCTTGAGCATGGGCCACAGAGCAAGACCCTGCCTCTGAAAAAACAAAGCAGGGGACCTCACCTAATGCAGAAAGTAGGAAGAGTCCTAGAAGCTGAGGCTTGAAGAGCAAGTGAGGCTTTGGGGGCACAAAGAGAGGAGGGCTGAGGCAGGTGGGTGTTTGAGAGGAGAGCCATGTGGGCAAAAACGGGGCTGGACAGGGACTGGGTGCATTCCAGGAATAAGAAGGTGTCACCACAGTAGACACAGGGTGGCTGGAGGTGACATGTCGGGGCAGGTGCAGACTCGGTCAAGGTTCCCGAGGACGCTCAGCAGGTGTCTCCCACACATGGTGCTGGGCTGAAGTGGTGGGCAGAGGCGGACAACCAGCCCGGGTTACGTCTGCCCAGCCATGCACTCTGGGACAGAGCTGCGTCCTTTTACTCACTGACCCACGTAGAAGGCCTCATAAGCTGGGCCAAGGCAATTTCCAGAGGGCAAATGAGACCCACAACAGGAAGTACCTGGGGGAGAGCCAGGCCTAGGTCTGCATTTTGGAAGGGTGCCCCTGCCCGCTGAGAGACATTGGAGAAGAAAGGGAGGAATAAATCGGAAGACCACGTGGGAGGCTCCAAAAGAAGGTAGCAGTGGAGGCCAGGCGCAGTGGCTCATGCCTGTAACTCCAGCACTTTGGGAGGCTGAGGTGAGTGGATCACCTGAGGTCAGGAGTTCGAGACCAGCTTGGCCAACATAGCGAAACCCCGTCTCTACTAAAAAATACAAAAATTAGCCGGGCATAAGGCTGAGGCAGGAGAATCTCTTGAACCCAAGAGGCAGAGGTTGGCAGTGAGCTGAGATCGCACCACTGCACTCCAGCCTGGGCGACAGAGCAAGACTCTGTCTCAAACAAAAAAGACAGAGAGAGAGAGAAATGGCAGTGGTTTGGGCCAGGTGGAGAAAATAACTAGAGGGTCAGCCAATCAGATGGACCAGGGGTTCTGGAGAGTCAGGGGTCAGGGTGGCCCCAGGATCTGGCTCTAACCATCCACCCAGGGCCCAGAATGAGGCCTGTGGCTTGGAGGGACTGAGTTCTGAGTCAATGAGGAAATGGTCTGAGTTCTGAGGAAATGGTCAAAACTTTAGTCCAGGGCTTTTGCTAGCCCTCAGGGTCAGTCTCATCCATGCCCAGAGCTGGGAGGAAGGCTCCATCCCAGGCTTCCAGACCATGCTTCCTCCTGGAAAGACGCTAGAAACCATGTGCCTGGCACAGCCACCCCTCTCTCCACTAGTGCAAACCCCCCACCCAGTCAGCTGCCAGCCTCACCCTCCTCCCTCCCACCTCCTAGTGGTTCCCAGTGCCACCAGGCGCCTCCACTCCACCATCAGCTCCTGCCCTGGGCCAGGCCCACTTTTTCCACTCCAGGATGGGGGCAGGGGTGACCTCCTAAACTGGCCACTACCTCCAAGCAGAAACTCCCTATGAAGTCAAGATGATCTGAAGAGTCCTTGCAGCTGTCACCTAGCCTTCACCCCTCACATCCTGTAACCTATCCCTCACCCATGATCCTGTGACTCTGGATTTAAAATCTGTTTTGCTTTCCTTGCACCAAGTGCAAGCATCTAGGCACGGCGTTCCAGGCGCCTCACAGGGCGTAGGGGTCCCCAGTCTTCTGTCCCACCGTTCCATCCCCAGGGAGCGGACCACCTGGCGCCCCCTCCCGCCCGCCACCGCCCGCTGGCGCCTGTTGGTCGTCTAGACCTGCCACCCCCACTCCACCGCTCAGATCCACGGCCAGAGCCAGAAGTGGCTCCTGCCTGGCCGGGAGCGGCGAGGCTGAGACTGTGCCCGCGGGCACTGCCATCCCATGCATGGAGAGGCGCAGAGACCGGGGGTAGGGCCCGGGGAACCCAATCCTCCTTCATCGCACAGAGGCCCACGAAGCTTCCCATCTGTTCTTTCAGGCTCACTGTGCAGATGGCGTGCAATTAAGTGGGTAGGTGCAGCAAACCCTTGTGTCCTCCTGCTTCCCTAAAGGCAGAGGATTGAGCCACTGCACTCCAGCCTGGGCAACACAGCGAGACCCTGTGTCTTAAAGAAAGGGCAGAAGTGGGGACCCCTCTCCCACCCCCTTCCCCTGCTCCAAGCCAAAGCCTTTGAAGCAAGAGGTTGCCTCCTGTGAGTTTCCCCCAGTCCCTGGGGGCCTGGGCTTTGGGAGGTGTGTCCAGGCAGAGGACAGAGGTCTCCTGCAAAGGGCCGCTGTTCCCTTCGCCCACTCTGCGCCCGCCCAGCCCCTTATCCGATGGGAAAGCCTTACCGACTCTTCCTCACAGAAGCGCCCAGATGCTGTTTATGCAACCTCTCCAGAATCTCCGTGTACTGTACTTCTTAAAAAGTGATTTGATTCAAAGCACTCATTCTTTTTTTTTTTATTTTTTATTTTTATTTTTTAAATTTATTTATTATTATTATACTTTAAGTTGTAGGGTACATGTGCATAACGGAGTAGTTGTTTCGCCACTAGTGGTATACTTTGTGCGCGATGGTGGTGGTTTTTCTGCTTGCAGCCCATCAACTCGTCATTTACCTCAGCGGTATACTTTCCAAGGCCATCTCCTCCCCCCTTCGGGATCCCCCTCCCCATTGATAGGCCGTCAGGTGTGTGGATGTTCCCGCCTTCCTGAGTCCAATTGATCTCAGTGTGTTTCGCAGTTCCCCTGATGAGTGGAACGATGCGCTGTTTTGGTTTTCTGTTCTGTGATAGTTTTAAGAATGATGGTTTCCAGCTTGACATCATGTCCCTACGCAAGCGAGCACCCCCCTCATCCTTGTTTATGGCCTGCGCACTAGTATTCCATGGTGTATCTGCGGGTTATGTGCCACATTTTCTTTTTTTTTTTTTTTTTTGTTTTTGAGACGGAGTCTGCGCTCTGGTCGGCCTAGGCGCTGGAGTGCGGTGGCACTGCGGATGCCATGAAAGCTCCGGCCTCCATGTCTCGTTGCCCTCTCCGGGTGGGGACTCAGGGCGCCCGCCACTGTCTTTTTTTGCTGGGGTATTTTTTTTTTAGTAGAGACGGAGTTTCACATTGGTTAGCAGGATTGTCTCGATCTCGTTGACTCGTGATCGCCCGTTCGGGTCGCCTCCAAAGTGCCTGGGATTACAGGCGTGAGGGGGCACTAGCGCCCGGGCTGGTGGCCCACATTCTTCTTCAATCATCGGTCACTGAATGGAGCGATTTGGTTGCAAACATTCCAATCTTGTCTATTGGTGAATAGTGCCTGCCAATAAACGATAGCGCTGCTGCATGGTGGTCTTCGTATAGCAGCGAGATTTAATCTTTGGGGTATGATACCCGTAATGGGATGGCTGGGCATATGGTACACTCTACTTCTAGATCCTTGAGGAATGCGCATATGTTTTCCATAATGTTGAACTAGTTTACAAATCCCAGCCACTAGTGTAAAGCTGTTCGCTATTTTCTCCACATCCTCTCCAGCCACCTGTTGTTTCCTGATTTTTAATGGATTGCCATTCTAAACTGGTTTGGAGATGGTAGATTCTCATTGTGGTTTTGTATTGCTTTCTCTGGATGGGCCAGGTGATGATGAAATTTTTTCATGTTGTCTGTTTGGCTGTATGAATGTCTTCTTTTGAGAAATGCTCTGTTCATTATCCCTTTGCACCACTTTTGATGGGTATGGTTTGTTTTTTTCGTTGTAAATTTGTTTGGTTCTTTGTAGGTTCTGGATATTAGCCCTTTGTCAGATGAGTAGATTGCAAAAATTTTCTCCCATTCTGTAGGTTGCCTGTTCGCTCTGATGGTAGTTTCTTTTGCTGTGCAGAAGCTCTTTAGTTTAATGAGATCCCATTTGTCAATTTTGGCTTTTGCTGCTGTAAAGCACTCATTCTTTAATTAAACTTCATTTAGCTGCCATCTGTCTCGGTTCGAAATGGCTTCGTGTTTTGCAACTCTAAATGAGAATTGTTATTGGATTAAACACATCCCCACAAAAAATCACAAAACACGTTCAAAAGTAATAAATGAAGGATGGTTAGGAGCTACATCTTAAACGTTCTAATTGCCGGGGAATGTATTCTGGTGGGCACACAATCATTTTATATACAAATATTTGTATAAAAATCTGGTATCAATGAAAAGATCAAGATTATAGAAAATGCTAGAATTATATCTGACTAAAAACAGTAATAAAGCAATAATTGGCGCAGGGAAGGGCCACAAAATGAGAGGGGGCACCTGCTCCCTTCAGGCCACCCTCCCGCACCGCCCAGGTGCCTAGTTTGGTACACTCAGGGGAAGATGGTCCTGAGCTCTCCTGGCTGAGGCTTCCAATGGCTCTGCGAGGTACCTCTTTTTATGGAACCAAAGCATTATTTATCTTCATTATTATTACTTGTTTTTTTTTTTTTTAAAGAGACAGTGTCTCGGCCAAATGAGGTGGCTCACACCTGTAATCCCAGCACTTTGGGAGGCCGAGGTGGGCGGATCACGAGGTCAGGAGTTCAAGACCAGCCTGGCCAACATGGCAAAACCGCATCTCTACTGAAAATATAAAAATTAGCCAGGCACGGTGGCGGATGCCTATAATCCCAGCTACTCGGGAGGCTGAGGCAGGAGAATCGCTTGAAACCAGAAGGCAGAGGTTGCAGTGAGTGGAGATTGGGCCACTGCACCCCAGCCTGGGCAACAGAGTGAAACTCCATTTCAAAAAACAAAGAGAGAGACAGAGAGAGGGTCTCTTTGTGTGGCCCAGGCTGGAATGCAGTGGCTCGATCATAGCTCACTGCACCTTGGAGCGCCTGGGCTCAAGTGATTCCCCCCGCTTCAGCCTCCCAACTGGCTGGGACCACAGGCACATACCACCACGCCCAGCTAATTTTTTTCATTTATTGTAAAGACAGAATCTCGCTATGTTGCCCAGGCTGGTCTCAACCTCCTGGCCTCAAGGAATCCTCCCACTTAGGACTCCCAAAATGCTGGGATTACAGGTGTGAGCCATTGCACTTGGCCCCTGCCCTGTAATTTTTAAATTTCATCTTATTCTTAAAACTCATAGCTGGGCATGATGGTGGGCATCCAGCTACTAAGTCCCAGCTACTAAGGAGGCCAAGGCAGGAGGCTCACCTGAGCCCAGGGATTCAAGGCTGCAATGAGCTATAATTGTGCCACTGTACTCCAGCCTGGGTGACAGAGCAATACACTATCTCAAGTAAATAAATATCATTTTATTAATATCAAGTATAATACTTTCTTTTTTTTTTTTTTTTTTTTTGAGGTGGAGTCTATTCAGTCACCCAGGCTGGAGTGCAGCATTGGGATCTTGGCTCACTGCAACCTCCACCTCCCAGGTTCAAGTGATTCTCCTGCCTCAGCCCCCAAAGCAGTTGGGATTACAGGCTCACGCCACCACGCCCGGCTAATTTTTGTATTTTTAGTAGAGACGAGGTTTCACCATGTTGGCCAGGCTGAGCTTGAACTCCTGACCTCAAGTGATCTGCCTGTTTCAGCCATCCAAAATGCTGGGATTACAGGCGTGAGCCACTGCACCCAGCCTATAATACCTTATTTTCTGTGTCATTATTTTCTGGTTGTCTGCCTGCTTTATGCTTTATGGTGTCAGGGACTGTGTTCATTTCATTCACCGTTCTATCCTAGTGCCTACATCCAGGACATACAAGGTACTCACTAAATGTGGGCCAGTTGGTTGAAAGAATATAAACTACACCAATCTCCTGGAAAATAAGAGAGCCCTTAAATCTTTTTTTTTTTTTTTTTTTTTTTGAGACAGGGTCTCACTCTGTCACTCAGCTGGAGTGCAGTGGCGTGCTCCTAGCTTATTGCAGCCTCCCACTCCCAGACTCAAGTGATCCTCCCTCCACAAAAGCAGTTTTGTTTTTTGTTTTAAAGCAGGCTGGGATTACAGGCATGAGCCACCACGCCCGGCCCATTATGCAAGAACTTTTGTGTGTTCTGTTAATCCTCACAGCCCTGCAAAGTAAATATTATTTCTTCACTTCACAAATGAAGAATCTGAGGTTCAGGAAGATGAAGGGCTGAGTCCAGGGTTATACAACTAGAAAAGATGAAGCACCAAGTTTGACTTCAGAGGAGACCGCCAGACTGAGACTCAGGCCCCTGAGTACTGCCCCAGGTGAACCCTGCAACTTGGGGCTAGGCAGAGCTTGTCTTCCAGTTTTCCCTCATGTGTTTGAAAGAGAGTAACAGAGGTACCTTTGAAAAGAAAAACAGAAATGGGTCCCAACAAGTCAGGTTTGCTCAGACCAGACCTCCTCTGCACAGGAAAAGGACATCAAGAAAGATCCAAGCTGGAAAGACCAGAGAAATATGTGCACACACACACTCACCCACACACATACACACAGGCACACACACTTTTTATTTTTTTAGTAGAGACGGAGGTCTCACTATGTTGCAGGCTGGTCTCAAACTCCTCAACTCAAGTGACCTCCCAAAATGCTGGGATTACAGGCATGAACCTCTGTGCTCAGGCTGCTTTTAAAAAAAAAAACTGCTTTTGTGGTGGTTTGTTTGTTCGTTTGTTTGTTGTTTTGAGATGGAGGTCTCACCTTGTTCCCTAGGCTGGAGTGCAGTGGCGCAATCTCCACTCTGCAACCTCCGCCTCCTGGGTTCAAGCGATCTCCTGTCTCAGCCTCTGAGTAGCTGAAATTACAGGCGCCCGCCACCCCACCCAGCTAATTTTTGTATTTTTAGTAGAGACAGGGTTTCATGTTAGCCAGGTTGGTATCAAACTCCTGACCTCAAGCGATCTGCCTGCCTTGGCCTCTCAAAGTGTTGGGATTACAGGCGGGAGCCACTGCACCTGGCAAAAAAAAACACATTAATTAGGGCTGGGTGCCGTGGCTCCCACCTGTAATCCCGGCACTTCAGGAGCCCAAGGTGGGAAGGAGGATTCCTTGAGGCCAGCAGTTCAAGAGCAGCCTGGGCAATGTAGCCAAATCCCATCTCTACAAAAAATAAATGAGCCAGGTGTGGTGGTGTGTGCCTGTAATCCCAGCTACTCGGGAGGCTGAGGCAGGAGGATCACTTCAGCTTGGGAGGTAGAGGCCACAGTAAGCCATGATCGCATCATTGCATTCCAGTCTGGGTGACAGAGCAAGACTTTGCCTCAAAAACACATGCCAAAAACAAACAAAAAAACCCACCAAAACTGTCAATTAGAGGTGCTGCCACAATCCCAATAATAGCACAGTGTTTGACTCACAGATATTAAGAAGTTGGCACTTGAAAAATAAAACGAAGCAGTGAGAAGACATTCTCCTCCTCAGCTCTGACCTGCCCGTTCCTGCTTAAGTACAGCCGTGTGAGCCTCCACTCCCTCCAGGAGGAAACCCACAGGCGTGAGTCTGGGATCAGAGACCCAGACCTTACCCCAATAGCTCTCTTTCCTCTCCCCTAGGGAGCCTTGGGTTCCAGCCAAACCAGGCCACCGCCCCCACTCACCAGTCTCAGATCATTCTAGAGCCTCTCACACCTCCAGGCCTTTTGCCTGGCTGGTTCTTGCCTTTCCTTTGCCTGGCCTTGATCCAGCTGAAATGTCTTCTGTCCCCTGAAGCCTTCCCCAGCGGCCCAGGCCCAGCAGGCGCTCTCAAAGCCAAGTCACACAATGTGTCATTGTCCCTGCAGAAATGATTCATTGAACACACAGCTTGAAACACAAGCTCATGATACCGTCTAAATACCTCCCGAGCAAAAAGAATGTTTTCTTTTTTTATTCTTCCTTTGTGTATGTATGTGTGTTTGTGTGAGAGACAAGGTCTCACTCAGTTGCCCAGGCTGGAGTGCAGTGGGGCCATCATAGCTCACTGCAGCCTCAACCTCCTGGACTCAAGCCATCCTCCCACCTCAGCCTTCCAAGTAGCTGGGACTACAGACACGCACCACTGTGCCCAATTTTTTTTTTTTAAATGGAGTTTTGCTCTTGTCCAGGCTGGAGTGCAATGGCGCAATCTCAGCTCACTGCAACCTCCGCCTCCCAGGTTCATGATTCTCCTGCCTCAGCCTCCCGAGTAGCTGGGATTACAGGCATGTGCCACCACAGCTGGCTAATTTTTTGTATTTTTCTTAGAGACAAGGGTTCTCCATGTTGGTCAGGCTGGTCTTGAACTCCCGACCTTAGGTGATCCTCCCACTTCAACCTCCCAAAGTGCTGGGATTACAGGAGCGAGCCATCGCACCCAGCCCACCCAACCTTTTTGGGTTTTTTTGAGACAAAGTCTCACTCTCACTCGTCACCCAGGCTGGAGTGCAGTGGTGCAATCTCGGCTTACTGTGACCTCCACCTCCCGGGTTCAAGTGATTCTCCTGCCTCAGCCTCCCAAGTAGCTAGAATTACAGGCACCTATCACCACACCCACCTAATTCTTGCATTTTTAGTAGAGACGGGATTTCACCATGTTGGCCAGGCTGGTCTCAAACTCCCGACCTCAAGGGATCTGCCTGCCTCAGCCTCCCAAATTGCTGGAATTACAGGCATAAGCCACCACGCCCGGCCGCAGCTAATATTTTTTTAATGTTTTATAGAGACAGGAGTCTCACTATGTTGCCAGTCTGGTCTCTAACTCCTGGCCTCAAGGAATCCTCCCGCCTTGGCCTCCCAAAGTGCTAGGATTCCACATGTGAGTCACCACACCTGGCCCAGAATGCTCTTTTCTTCTTCACAGGCTTCAGGCTTCATGCTCAGAACAGAGTCTCACTCTGTCACCCAGGCTGGAGTGCAGTGGTGTGATCTTGGCTCACTGCAACCCCTGCCTCTCGGGTTCAAGCAATTCTCCTGCCTCAGCCTCCCAAGTAGCTGGAACTACAGGCATGCAACACCATGCCTGGCTAATTTTTGTATTTTTATTTTATTTATTTATTTTTGGAGATGGAGTCTTGCTGTCACTCAGGCTAGAGTACAGTGGCGCCACCTCA